GTACAGACACACTTCCAGATACTGTTGTGGTGCCTGTGATACATTATTCAGAGAGATCATAATCCAGCCCTTACACTTAGTTTGTAGTAAATTGTATAATTAATAGAAGTAGAACATTTATATTTATTTTATTCTTGTGCACGCTCTTTTATACCACAGGGAAGGGAATTGGTAGTGCCCAGGGACTGAGTAAAATCTTTTAAAATAGTTTTGAGCCCTCTAGTGGCTGTCATGATCTTTTTTCCCAACAACCACTGAAACTCTCTTAGTGAAGTGATGCATGAACATAGCTAAATTGTACAGATTATATATAATGAATTTATAAAGTTGTTTGGATCCTCAATGCTCAAGTGGTTCCTTGCTATTATTTATGGTGTGATGACTATTGGATGCAATAGAAGGAAACCTTTAGGTAGGGGAATCATTGGCAATAAGATATGCTTACACTAAGAATGCAAAAACAATTCTTCATCACTCTGCATATGAAGAACAAGCTCTGAAGCCTTTTCAAGTGAAGAATCTCCATTTAAAACACCTTAGCTAACCAAAGATTATTATGTGAAAGGTTTTTTATAGAAAGTAAGTAAAAATGTTGTACGTGCTAAAGATACATTTCAGAAAGGGGAAACACATAGGCTGGATTTTCAAAGGAGATGAAAAAAAGAAGCCAAAGGGAGTTAGATATCCAGCTCTGATAACTTCAGTGGCATTTGTTACTTTATTCAAGTCCAGCTGTTAGAGCTGTTGATTACATATTGCAGTGGTCTCCAAAGTGGGGTACACGCACCCCAGGGGGTGCGCAAGACGATCCATTGGGGTGCAGGAAGAAAATATTAGAACTTCTATTGATATTTAAATTTAAATAAATATACATATATTGGGGGGGTGCTCAAAATTTTTTTACTGTTGGGGTGCACGAATATAAATATACATATATTGGGGGTGCATGCTCAAAACTTTGTTACTGATAGGGGTGCGCAATCAAAAAAGTTTGGAGACCACTGACATATTGAACAAGCCAGTGGATTTGTCTTCTAAAGTTTAGAGAGCTTTCATCCAGGATGCCTGAAAACTTAGATCCAGATTTAGATTATATAAATCTCTAAACTTTGGGGAGGTGTTTTGAGTTTAAGTGTTGGCTTGGCCTATCACATAAACATGATGCTTTCAAAAAATTCAAATGAAAATAAAGATTCCAGTTCAAATACTGGACAAATCTAGGCATATCTGAATGAAGGCTTTTGATTCAACATTACTTCCTTACAATTACAGCACTCAATTTTGTACTCAGTTTTTTTCTAGGTACACTAGCACTTTCCAGCATTACATGAGATTCTTTAATTATTATAAATGAATTTTCATTTTTCTAAATTAAAGCATTTACTATGTCTCAGTGAGGATTTGATTATTTTCCTTTGAACAGGCAGAAACTTTTATCAAGTATGATTGTCCTTAGAATTATTGTGTGTTTGCCTTAGAATGATAGAAAATAGGGCTCCATGCCCTGTTCAAGACAGGATCATCTGTGTCTAAATTATACCAGACAAATGTTTTTGTAACTTGCATTTAAAAACTTCCAGTGAGAGATATTCCCAAACTTGTCTGAGTAATCTGTTCCTGTATTTTTACCACACTAAAGTTGAGAAAGTTTTTTCCAGTATTCATTTAAAAATGTTACGTACCAAGAGTAGGTATGAAGAGACAATACAATTTTTCTGGGAAGTGTACAGTGTGAATTATAAAGTGATTTGATTAGATTATATTAAAAGTAGATATGTACTCAGTGTTCACATCTAGAATGGGATCTGAATCTAAAATTTCTCAAGCTTTAGGTACTCAAGATTCTGGTTTGAAATAAATATTCACAACAGGGTCCAGTAGAAAATGTCCCTTAAATTCACAGCATTCCCATCCAGGTCTCAGTTTGAGGAACAAAAATGACCTTATGGAAATTTTTAAAATAAAAAATAGAGATTGAACTCTCTTTTAATTTTTTTTAAACCAGCGTACAGAATTGGATACCATGGGTATGATTCTTTATTAAATACTTTAAACTGACTTAAAATGTTAATTCAACTATAATTTTCCTTCAAATTCGATGGATTAGGTAAAACAATTTCTTTAGAAGTCTTTTGTTTTCTTCATTATTCATTTCAATAGAATTTTTTCTGTAAAAGAGGGCTCTTAGAGTTCTGTCAAGTCCTTATTCTGTCTATGTGAAGGACTATGTGTCCTCAATATATAGTGCAAGAATCATGAATATCTTTCAAAGTTTGGATCTACTTATAGAAAGGAGAATGACAGAAGAAGAATCTTTTAAAAAAATGTTGGGGAGAACTGAGACTGAGAACACATGGAAAGAGAGAGGAACATGAGTTAATTCATTTTGAAGACGAATTATCTATACAAAAATATGAGTTTGTGTTGAGACTGTGGAAAATATAGGAAGATTTAATTAAACAAAAACCAGGAGGAGGAGGAAGAGAGACCTTTTTACAAGATCCACAATCCATGATCAGTAATCAAAATGAAAGGATGTGTAAATGTTTGTTAAAAGACCAGAAGTACACATAATGAGTTTGTTTTATACTGTAAAAGTACACAACACGTTTTAAAAGGATTTTTACAGATCTTGAAAACAAGATATAATTAACTACCAAATTTGTTTTGTTGAAGCTCATTTCAATTATTTTTTGTTGAAGCTAAAGTAATCATACACCATATCAGGAAAGCAGTAAACAGCCTATATTTGTTTTATATAATTCCAGATATTTACAATGTACCCCAAGGTTTGGCAGTGCAATGCCTCAGGTGCTAGCAGCATAGATTGAGCACATATTTCACAATTACATTAAACTGATATTGTTGCATCCATCACTGTGTAATCTTAAACATTTACTCAGTACAGAGTCCATAAACATTTACAAAAACACTCTTGTTCAACAGAAGCCAAAAACTGGCAACAAAAAGATCCCATTTAATTCCAGGAGTAAAAGTTGGGTTGGGATGGTGCAGTTGCTAAGGTACACACGTGACAGCCCAGAGATCACACGTTCAAAGCCATAGCAGAAGTGCTTACAGCATGGCCTGTCAGATTCCAACAAAACTGCAAATTCTGCTAAATACCTTGTCACAAGGGCATGAAGAAAGGAGTAAAAGTCAATGCTTTACTTTAGCAACAACATTGCAGTTAGCAGGAACTTTACAACCTTATAAATGTTGCCTTTACTATAGCTTGTGTCACAGAAGTGTACATTAATTTTGCACTGAATCAAACATACTATTTATGGTGTTTGATCCAATGCAAATTAAAAAGAACCCATTATAATAGTCAACTTGGACACGCTCACTATAGACAAAAAACCCCTCTGAATAATGACACAGGAAAATCAATAAACGGGTCTATATAAAACCCCATAATTTCTGTTAATAATCATATGCACCAAAAATAACAGGCACAATACAACGTTTTTCAAAATCAGTTATGTTGTATTCATATTTTTTCACATTACTGCTAGTCTTCCATTAACACTTATTTCCCTTCTGAAATATTAAGTATTTTTCAAATTAATAACTTGCAAAGAAGTCATTGACATGAATTGTCTGGTTGTGGAGAAACATTTTCATGGTAACAACCTTTAATGAAATGATATAGAGATTCCATTGAAAACAATGATGAATTCAGGAAGATTGCCATGAAATCTGCTGCATTATCAACAGTTCAAGTATTTCATGACCACTGCATTGTCATGCTAAGGTATATTGTACTTGTAATAAGGAGATGGGCCTGAACCTAATCTCTGGAGCTAAACACCTCTGAATTTTGATAAAAGCTACAGCTTGATCTGAACTCTATGTCTTGAGCTCACCTCTAGTACTGTATTCATAATTCTTCTTTTTTAATCTGTTCATAAGCATTTATTTTCAGACTTTTTATATCTATAACTTCTGTTACCTTTTGCTTTGTTTTCTCCTGGTCTTTTCGTGCTTTTGGACCCTTGACTTTCTTTCACCACTGTGGGCCAGATCATCAGCTGCACTCTAGCATTTTTTTCCTGCAAGGCAGCTCTCAAGATCATGAATGCAGGCTGCTGAGTGTTCTTCCCTGCATAACAGAATCCTCTATTACATAATGCCTTTTCTGCCATTTGGCAGAAAGGGCATTATGGGGGTATCTGTAGATCCCTGAAAACCTTGGCTGCTCCTTAGGTTTTACTCAATTTATTCCAGGGATCTGAATGCACAGCCCAACACAGGTTTAAAGTCCTTTTTTTCTTCAACCCCCAACTGTGCTGCAAATGCAGTTTGACAGGACCAGAAGATCTAGCCCAACAAGAACTTTTAAGTCCAAACCAATTAATGAGATATTTGTAAAGCTCTTTGAAGATAAAAAGTACTGTATAAGTGGCTAAGTGTTAATATTATTATAGAAAAAAAATCAACTTGATTCTTTAGAAGTCCTGTTTTCATCTTCTAGTGATACCAACTTTTTCAGTATGTTTAATATATAAGTGAATCTGTGTGATATCAGTAGGTATATTTTCCTGTGTTCTGTGTATTACTAAACTAAAGGTTACTTTTAGGGCAATAAAAATATTAAAGAAGTTTTAAAACTTTTTCTTATAAGCTATACATCAGAGAGTAAAGAAATCTATTATGTAGTGTAGTAAATTCAGTTTTGTACCATCCATTCTCACCGTCATATTGACTTATTTTTTAAACAATATTTTTCTAGAATACTTGAGATGTGAAGAATCACTTCAGAAATATCTGCTATCACCCTTGTTTAAAGGTGATACTGATTTGTGTGAGAACAATGCTACTGACTTTGGGTTCTTAATGTACACATACATTAATCTCCCATAAACCCTCCTCCCATCCAAAAACATGTTATTCTAAAGGAGGTTTGTCCATTTGATCTCTTCAACTCTTTATTGCTGGGGACTACTGTTTGTGCCTTTACTTAGTCCCTACTCTATTCAATCAGGTTGTGGACTAGTCTCACAGGGGAAATGGTGCAAGCTGCATTGCATGGGACATTTAAAACTAGAAGAGACAAGACTGTTGAAAATATACAGGAAAGAATAATTTTGCACTGCAAGTAGATGGACTGGATGACTTAACAGGTGTAATCCATCTCTCACACAGTAAGTTTGCCATTTCCTGCATGAAAGGAAGAACAGGAGGCCTGCTAAAGTACTAACAGGAATGCAGGTCCACTAAGTGACCACAGACACTCATTGTGGTTCACAGCAGCTGCTGCTGCCCTGCTCCTGAACCCAAGCATATCAGTATCATGCAACATTTTTACCTTTTTTTGTGCTGAATTTTTTGTGTCCGGCACATGGAAAGGAACAACTCTGAAAAGAAAGAACTGCAGCCAATTTACAATGCCTAGTCAATGTACACTGTTTTCCCCTCATGATATAAGAACATTCATGGCAGTTTGGTATTCCCTTGCCAATATAATTTCTCTTCCACTTTTTTCTTTTTCCACTGACAGAAAAGCAGCATCTTAAAAGTTTTCCTGAAAGTTTTGTTACAGAGAGCATAACAGATGGGGTTAACAGTGCTATTGACGTAGCACAGCCAATAACCAAGGTGCCACAGTGTTACTGGGATGCAATCAGAGCAGAAGGTAGAAACCAAAACCATTATGTTGTAGGGAGTCCAAGTGAGGATAAATGCCAGAAGAATAGCACTTAAAGTCTGGGCTGCTTTGCGTTCTTTTATCAGGACCATTCTTTTCCTTTTTGTGATTTGGTTACTTATATTTGGATCCATGCTTTTGATGGAAGGATCTTTTGACAAAGCAGCAGAACAGGGAGTTATTTTTACTTTTCGGCAACCGCTATTTGTTTCTTGGGTGCCATCAGCCTTAACCACCAAGCGGAATTTGTAGGCCACACATTTTTTACTTTTTTGCATATGGCCTTTGGCTGGAGATAAAAAGTATTTCTGGGTTTCAAAATCATTTTCCTCAGGCTGGTCTTTGATAAAATCTTCTTTATTCTCTTGCTCATTAAATTCTTCTTCCTTATCTTTCACTGGGCCTTTGTAAGTTACTTGAAAAACGGAATCAGTGGCATGTTTGTCCTCCTCTTCTGAGGATGCATAGCTACTGCAGGTTGTTAGCTGGTCTGCCTTAGACCAGTCATTACAAGAACTTGGTGTCTGAGAAGCTTTCACTGTGGCTGAAGTGCTCCGACTAGATGAAGACCATGAAGCCTGACACCTTTCCCTTTTGGCTAAATTCTGTTGCTTGCAACTAAAGCAGGACTTTAGAAGAGTTTTCTGGGGCGTTATCATCTCAAGCTCTGCTATAGAATCAGACCCTTGAAGTTCAGCAAGGTCCTTGGTACGTTTCTCAGTTTCTTTATAAATACGGCAATATAAAATAGTCATCACTGACACTGGGATGTAGAAAGCAGCAATTGCAGTACCAAAGGTGATAATAGGTTCATACAAAAACTGGATCTGGCATTCTTCAGGTGGGACTGTTCGCTCCCCCACAAAATACTGCCAACATAAGATTGCAGGTGCCCACAAAATAAAGGAAATTAACCAAGCTAGACCAATCATGATGCCAGCCCTTTTGGGTGTACGCTTAGCTCTGTAGGTTAAAGGCCTTGTGATAGAAAAGTATCGATCAAAGCTGATAACCAGCAGATTCATTACTGAGGCATTACTAGCTACATAGTCCAGTGCTAGCCACAGGTCACATGCCAGACTTCCAAGAGACCAATGACCTATTAGTATATAAGATGTGTAAAGATTCATAGAAAATATTCCAATGATGAGGTCTGCACAAGCAAGGCTGAGTAAGTAGTAATTGTTAACAGTTTTCAGCTGACTGTTGACTTTGAAGGATATCATTACAAGAATGTTTCCCACTATAGTTATTAGGCTTACAATTGCTGTAACAGTAGCAATTGTAATGACTTCCCAAAGGCTATGCCTTTCCAATTGTTTGTGGTTAATGGAAGTACTGTTTATAACAGTAGAATTGCTGTATAGATTTACTTCCATTCTTGTTCTTGGTATATTATCATCAGGATATTAACACTGTTACAGACTATTTTTTGTATTTGATAGGAGATTTTGAAGACACCTGTAAAAATTAAAGGGGAGGGGGAGGGGAGGGAGAGAAAGAGAAAGAGAGAACAGCTTATTAAATTGCACTGGCTTTCATTAGAGGTAATGAAAAAAAATTGTAAAAAGATCCTATCAGATTATTTTAATTCTTTCTTTGCAGTCTGATTTCTGTTCCTCCTGTCGTACACATACATTAAACATACATTTTAGGGAAATGTACTTTGATAACATGTAGGATTTGTGATATTTCTAAATACCACCAAAATGACTATTGTTTCTTAAGACATTCAGTCGTGTTTACTCATGTCTTGAATACTAAAGAGGCATGTCTACACAAGATGTTTACTGCAGTTTACTAATTAGTTCCACAGTTAGTATCTTGGCTTCTACATCAGTGGTCTCCAAAGTGGGGTATGTGCACCCCAGGGGGTGTACAAGACGATCCATTGGGGTGCGCGAAGAAAATATTAGAACTCGTATTTTTATTTATTTTTTATCTAAAAAAATAAGAAAGAAATTAAGCGTTACTAATATTTAATATTGACACTGGCACCTTCACTCAGTCTGCATGTCAGACAGTCACATGTCATGTACGGTACATGAGGTATCCTGAGGGAAGAAGCGTTCATTCGCTTTCAGTGTATTGCAATGTATCACAGTTTACGTGTGCCTGGTTAAGTGGATTTACGAATTATATATATAGTTTTAACTAAACTAACCCTCCCAAAATGGACAAGTGGATTATAAAGATTCCCGCAAAGAAACCGTGGATTGAAGATAATACTAATAATGCAAGCACAAGCGAACAGCAAGAAAATGGCAGAGATGACACTTCTCCTACTCCTAGTATACAACAGGCTGTGGTCCCAGGCTCATGTGTAAATGTGGATCCCAGAAGCAATATATTTTGGCATGATATATGCCAGAGTTTATCACTTCACATTAATATGCATGTATAGATGCTCTGAAAGGCATGTTCTTAATCACATGTTCAGTACAGGTGCATTTACATGTTCTTTTGAGGATATGTAGCTGCTGCAACAGGTATTGACATACAACACATGTTCTTAATCACATGCTCTTACCCACCCGACATTAAGCTTCACAAAGCCTGAGACAGTGTTCCATGAAATCCCTTTTAGAAGTTAGTGTCATAGTCACTTCAGTTCTTGCCTCTTCTTCCTTATAGCTAACTGCAGCTCTTCAAAAAGAGCAGGGGAGGGATAATACAAAACACCTTGAGTTGGAATAGTGGTTGCAAAGATGGACTACCCAGCAGCATTGCACACTGGCACTCGTCTGGGTGTTTCCAACCTATCCACACTTCATCCGGCTACAGTTCAGATATTGAAGTTTTATGCAGGTAGACTTTTCCACAACAAATAAACAACTAGTACTAGCAGAGATGGGGCATACAGCAATCACTGCAAAAATATATAGTGAAACATCAGACATCACTGTGTCTTCTATTGTTACCATCCCTGTTTCTAGCTAAAATACACATTTTCAAGCAGGGCTGCATGTACAGGTTCCATGAAAAATAAAGTACCTTCTAAGGAAAACTAATCTGTGAATATTGTTGAAATGAAGCTAATATTTGCATTACTTTGAAGAATATATTACCAATAAGGCAAATACTGAATGAGCAAAACCTGAGATGTTGTCAGAGTCTATTTTTTGAGGAGATAGCAAGTAAAAATATGACAACTGTCTTTTAAAACTTTTATGTAGTTTAGATATAAAACTACTTGACTCACATTTAATCCCAGAGTAAAACTTGTAGTAATGGTATTACTTCACATGCTAAATATCACTTATTTTTAGGACAATAGTGAATCTGTTCTAGGTTTGTGCTTTATTTTTGATTATAGAGGATAAGTCCTTAAAAATCCTAACCTTGCAAAGAACTGAAGAGGCTAGTAGGAAACAAATGTGTGTCTGTACTGAAAATAGAAAATGCTGCAGTCAGTGTACAGGTATATATAAAAAGCAAATGCTGCAATATGCGTGTGCATGTGTAAAACTGAAAACTAGTTACTGTAGGTACATATGAAAAAGAATAAATGCCGCAGTTAATGTGTGCATATAAAAAGAAAATGCTGCAGTCCGTGTGTACATGTGTTCTTTAAAACAGAAAGTTTACTACAGTCAGTTTTTGTGTGAATATGCATGTTATATATAGGGGTATGGATATCTATACATACATAAACTTCCACCCTTCTGTGGTCTGGAATCATTCAAATTCATGGGGATATTCAAACATTGAAATAATCTCTAAGTGGAAATGAATTAAGCCTGCTGTGTTTAGTGTCAGAATCACCTCTCCTTACTCTCTGGCCCTTGCGAAGAGCAAAAGTGCAATGAGGCTGAAGTGAGTCTTCTCACCTTAATACCATGTATTATTCTTCTCCGATCTTATCCAACTACCATATTTACTCAAATACAAGATGAGATTTTCCGCCAGACACCATGGCTAGGGTCAGAAGTTACACAGTTTAACTGATCAGAAACTGGTTTATACCTATAACAGAACATAAATTTCATAAACCAGCATAAAGCAACATAAACCAGTTTCAAAATGACCAAAACTGGTTTAAGATAACCCTGGTTGAATGTAGTATCACACTTAACTGATTTGGGTCAAACCAGTTTATGCAACTTCTGTCCCAGACCCCTTCCTGGTTTAAGTTAAACCAGAGTCCTCCACCATCCCAGTCCTGGGCTGGGCTGTTTGCTCCAGAGAGCTGGGCTGGCTCTGCCCTTCTGCTCTCTAGCCTGAGCAGGGGCTGGGACCTAGCCAGATGCATGGCTCACTGAGGTCAGGGGAGCAGGGTAGGGGTTTATTCCTCCTCTCCCCTGGCGGGGGACTGTGGCCCCTGTTAGCCATTCCCTCCCTCCCCACTCTAGTGGCAGGAGGGGGAGCATGGCCAGAGGCAGCAGGCATGGCCCCCACCATCTACCTGCCTTGCCAGCATCTGGGGCTGCAGGGCTGAGCCGAGGGCCTGCAAGTGCTGCTAAGGGCGGAGGAAGAGGGGCCAACCCTGCTGGGTGGCCGGGGCTGGGCCCTTCCCGGAGGGCTGCAGCTCAGGCTGGGGTTGTTGGGGCTGTATGGCTCCCCATGCCCAATCTGGGCAGGGCCGTCATGGAGTCCCAGCCAGCTGGGAAGGGCCCTGCGGGGCCAGCCCATGGGGGCAGGGCCCTTCCCCGGCTGCTGCAGCTGCATGACAGCCCAGCCTGGCAGTATGGGCGGGGGCTGGCTGGAGAGTGGGTTTCCTGGGTCAGCTTGGATGTGCCAGCAGGCCCTGAGCCCAGCAGCTGCCACTGCACCCCTTGTCCTGTGCAGTACCTGGGGCTGCAGGCGCACAACCAGCTCCAGGCTAGCTGGGGCTGGGGGGCGTTATTCTGCTCTCCTCACTTCCAGCTGCCACTGCCGTGACTGCGCTGTGCCATGCCACTCTGGTTGCAGGGAGGGGCAGGAAGCTTCAGCCCTGCATCTTCTGCCCAGCACGTGGAGCTCTGACTCCAGTGCCTGGATGCCTCGGAAAGCAGAAGACGCCTGAGTGGAAGGCGTCTGGGAGCGGCAGCCAGAGCTCCATGTGTAGGGCAGAAGCTGCCAAGGTGAAGCTCCTCCAACCCACCCCTGCCCCCACCAGGGGTGGCACAGCATCAGCAGGAGTAGGAATGGGAGGAGTCAGTGGAGGTGAGGGGAAGCTGGCTTGGCCTGGCAGGGCTGTTTTTTTCCCATTACATCCAGCTTCAGTGTCTGCTCCTGCTGCACCATGCAGCACCACTTGGGGCAGGGGGAGCTTTCTTCAGCCTAGCAGCTGGAGCCCAGCTTCTGGATGCTTTCCTTGTGCTCTGCCTGCAAGGGCTACTGGATGTGCAAGGTGGGTGGAGTGGGCTGAAAGCAGCCGGAGCTGGAGCCAGAGCTCCCGGAGCTCGGCTGAAGCTGCTGGGATGAAGAAAGCTCCCCCAGCCCTGAGTGGTGCTGTGTGATGCAGCAGGAGCAGGAGCTGCAGCTGACCGTGATGGGAGAACAACAGCTCTGCCCAGCCCGGCAGCTTGTACCCTGTGCGTGGAGCTCCAGGTGCAGTTCCGGATGCCTTCCACCCAGATGTCTTCTGCCTTCCAAAGCATCTGAGAGCTGGAGCCAGAGCTCCACATGCTGGGCAGAAGTTGTGGGGCTGAACACCCCCCCCACACACACACTCAGACCAGTATGGCACATCTGTGGCAGCTGGAGGTGAGGGGTCAGAACACCTCCTGCCTCTCCCGGCACCCATCAGCCTGCAGTTGGTTATGCATCTGCAGCCCCAGGTGCTGCACAGGACAGAGGGTGTGGCTGCTGGGTTAAGGGCCCACTAGTACCTCTGAGCTTGCCCAGGAAGCCCGCTCCCCAGCCAGTCTCTACCCATGCTGCTGTGCTGGACTGTCATGCAGCTGCAGTGGGCTGGGAAGGGCTCTGTCCCCATGGGCTGGCCCCGTGGGGCCCTTCCCAGCCAGCTGGGGCTCCATGATAGCCCTGCCCAGCTTGGGAGCAGGGAGCAATCTAGCCCCAACCCAGGCTGTCCTTCTGCATCCGCCCTCAGCAGCATCTGCAAACTGGCTCAACTCAGCCCTGCAGCACCAGCCCTGGGCAGATAGCAGGGCCATGCCAGCCAGCTCTGGCCAGGCCCCCTGCAAGAGCAGAGGGGAAAGCTGGGCAGACCCTGACTGGGGCAGGGTCCCATGCCCAACTAGAGAGGGGATTTTAATCCGCACCCCTGGGCCCCTTTGCCTGAGGCACTGCCCTGGCAGGTGTCTGGCTTTAGGGACAAGCCTGGCAAGGGCTGTTCCCCCCCTTCCCCTCTAGGTACACCCCAGCTAGGTTCCCTGAAGGCCAGGATGGGGGTTTAAACCCCTCCACAATCATACTTAGCTCCTGCAGAGGGCTG